AGATGTGTTTTTAGTCGTTTCTTGAAGATGGCTAAGGACTCAGCTGCTCGGATTGAGTTGGGCGGGTCATTCCACCAGGAGGGAACAGTTAATGAAAAAGTCTGTGAAAGTGATTTTGTGCCTCTTTGGGATGAACTATAAAGCGCCGTTCACTTGCAGAACACAAGCTTCTAGAGGGCACATAACTCTGAAGTAATGAATTTAGATAAATGGGTGCAGAGCCAGTGGTGGTTTTGTAGGCAAACATTAATGCCTTGAATTTTATGGTCAATAGTACACAACTTGCTGATTCTGAAAAGGCATATAATCAAAGGTGTGTTTTCTTTGTTTACCAGAAAGAAGAGGAGAATGTGGCAGAGTGTTGGTTTGACCGTGTTGGTGATCGTGGCCACGCTGATATGTGTCCTCCTCTTCATGCTCTTCGGTAAGTAGCTGCCGAACACCCTGAGAAAAGATCCTGCAATCCTTCATCTAATGCAGTGACATTTTTAACTGTGACTTGAATACTTTTGGGGTCACTGTAGCTTATCTTAAACTAGAAATTCAAGGACTCGCATGATTCTGTGAAGTCTACCGCAGCGGTTGCTTTCTCCGTGATCTGATGGTCATGAACCTTGTCACATTTCTGAGGAAAAAGTCACACCTTCAGTTACAGGATTCTCTCTCTAGCCTTGAATTCTGGGCTCATGTGTGAGAATATGGTCGGTTCAGTCACGCACTGCAAAAATAGAGCAGGTTTGCTGACTGTCAGCAACACAGACGTCTCATTTCCAGAGTTCACTGTGATTTGAGTGTTGACTTTAGTCAAGGTCTCTCTGACTGACCCACATCTGTTAAGGGCACAGGAGCAGTAAAATGGTTTTCTGTACTGTAGAAACCTGTCAGCTGTTACATAAGTGTGCAATGTCCAGCATGTCATTTGAGAAGTTGTGTCCTCATGTCAGACGCAGGCCTGGTTCAGATTTGTGTAGGTCACTGCACTAAACATGCCAACACTTATGTGTTACAATATGAGGAAGAAGCTTTTTCTGTATTAACTAAAATGTCAGGATATGTTGAAATTAAAATTTAAAATTCTACCAAGAATGAGCCTAGGTCATATTTTACCATCAACATGAATGCATTAGGTAACATGAAAGAACAATGAGCAATTTTCCAGCTTAATGTTAGTTTATAAAAATACAATTGTTGATTGCTTTTTCATCATAGCGCATAACTAATGGTAAAAAATGCAACTTTCAATTTAAAAAAAATGCATTTGTAAATGTTTAAATTAACATTAACCAATACTAATAAATGCTGTAGAAGTATTGCTCCTCGTTAGTTCATGTTAACTAATGTTTACAAATGGAATCTTTTTGTAAAGTATCCAGCTGTTTTACATATGACTCTTATTATGATTCTTATTAGATTTGTATTTTATCCCAAAATAAAGATAAAAATAATTGCCTAAATTAAGGTCATAAGATTTTTAGGATAGTTTTTATTATTTATTTATTTTTATTATTTTTCCTATTATGTTTTACGTTCAATTCGTATTATGGCTCTCATTAAATTCTTATTTTAATGATTTCATATTGTATCCCAAAATCAAAAGACAATTTGATCATTTTCTTTTGCATAATTAAAACTTTTAAATCATTAAAATTTCATGACATTTTCTCACTAAATTCTCATTACCATAATGCATCCAGATATTTACCAGTAATTTGTTTTTTTGTGATTTTAAATTTTGTTGAGATATTTTGCATTGGCTTTATTATTATTATTATTTATATTTTCCGAGTAAAGTCGTATTACCATAATGTTCCATATGTTTTATATTTGATTCTATTTTTATTCTCATTTGAATTATTGCTTTACTTTTCATATTTTACCCAATAATGAAAGTGAAAAAAATAATAAATTGTATTTTGCATAAATACAATTAATGTTGAGAAAATTCTGACATTTTCCCACCAAATTCTCATTACCATAATGCATTCAGATGATTTACATTTGATTCTTATTATGATTACCATTAGATTTATGTTACAAAGTTCACATTTTACTTCAATATCAATCAAATTATTTTATATTATTTTGTATGAGAAATGTTGACATTACATAATATAACAATTGGGTCACAAAGCAAAATCTTAATGCTTGTAACATTAAGCTTGGTTTCATTAACACAAGTGGCCGAACATTTCTCAGCAAAATGAAATGTAAATCAAGTTTGTCAGGCATCTGAAGTGCATTAGTTCACAGATCATTTTGCAAATACCAGCTCAATCCATACTTTATCATAAAGTTAATGCAAGTGAACCAGAGTCAAATTTAAGATGCAAATGCAAAGCCATATCATCTCCCTCCTAGTTCCAGTGCAATCCTGACAGCCAGACATGGTGTATTCCACTGAAAGTGTCTGTGTGTCCTGTTTGTAGGGTGGTACGTGGTGTGGCAGC